GTCGTGGGACGACGCTTTTGCGATCTCGACAATCTTCTGACCTGGGAAGAGCTGAAGCTGCCAAATCTCCTGCTCAACAGCCTTGTCGCCTTCGCTGATGAATTTGAGTCCGCGGATGGTCTCTCCCTCGCCACGAACGACAACGGTCTGTTCAGGAGTCCAGCCCGCGGGGACATTACCAGCTTCACCGTTGACTCCCAGGGGAAGGAGCCACTTTCCAGAGGGGCTGTCAACCAAGACGGTGCTCGAGACTGGAGCCAATGAGCCGGGAGGCATAACCTCGACGACTTCTCCGGTCTCGCTCTTGATGGCGACGTACTCGCCCTTGGCACCGCGAAAAGTGACGACACCCTCATCCTTGGCATAAATTCCCTTCACATCAAGAGTCTCGCCGGGAACCTGGGGAAGAACGCTCTTGGACCAAATCACCTGGCCATTGTTTCCAGTGCTAAGTCCGTACACGCGGCCACGTCGGGTCACAAGGACAATGATCTTGTTGAAACCAAAGGTGTCGCGTTGCAAACCCTCCTTCTTGCTCGGAGCCTCGCCGCCAAACAGACTGCTCATAAAACTCTCAGGAATGGAAGCAAGGTAATCCGGTAAATACTGGAGGTCGTTGATGTGGCGCTTGACGCGGTGGATGTAGGCCTCCAGGGGGTTGGTATGCGCCTCCTGCTCCAGGACCTTGGCGAGGTTCTCGCTGGCAGGAATTTCTGCCCAAACCGCTGCAACCGCTGCAGTCAGTCCTTCAGGGCGCTGCCAATCCACCTCACCGTTACGCACCAGGACCCAGTCGTCGGCCTTGGTCACAACAGCAGCTCTGACGGCAAAGCCTTCGCCTGAGGGCTTCTTAATGACTTCTGCGACGGCGTGAATCGGTTCAACGTCACCGGTTGGCCTGAAAGGCCAGCGAGCGAGAACTGCATGCGACTCGGAAGAAACGATAATGATCTCGTCCGCGGTGATTCGAGTGAAGTAGACATTGGCACCGTCTGAGCTAGTCGAGATGGCGCCTTGACCGGAAAGATGAGGCAGCTCGTAGGCCTGGGAAATCTGGCTGTTCTTCAAGTTGGTGTGATAAACCTCGGCTTTGTTGCCATTCTTAGTCCTCGTGTGGACCAGGAAGTGAGGCTGCGACTGGATTAGGTGGGGCGCATGAATATCGACAGAGACAGCATCGGCTGGCAATTTGATCTCTTGCGTAGCCTTGGTGCCCAGCACGTTGACCTTGAGCTTGGTCAGGGTGTTGTCGGTCCACGCCAGGATCGGCGCCGCCGAGTTGCCACCAACAAACATGACGTCCTTGGGACCATGGACATCGCCCTTGGTGCCGATCGACAGGTCGTCAAGGCGAGATCCCGCAGCAATATCGAGAGCCGTAACCTTGAGGCTGTACGAGGCGGGCGAGCCATGAAGGCTGATAATGTAGACCTTGGCGATGTCGGTCGAGACCTGCAGAGGAGTATTCTTTGTGGTCTCGCGGAACTCCCACACGACGTGACCCAGTGTACCATGTAGGCGTCGCAGAATGGTCGATCCATCTTCCTCTGTCAAGACGAGGACGTCCTTGGTCGACTTCTCTGTCAGCTCGAGAATCTCCAAATCCTTCACCTCGCCCTGAAACTCGGCCTGCCAGATGCTCCGACCCGTCAGCGCATCCCACGCCTGTACGCGCGACCCGTATGCAGAAGCAACCCAGTGCTGGCCCTCGGCGGCGCGCAAGAAGCCGCCGCCATTGGTGAGGTCATCGGCGACCTGCTGGCGCCATACTACGGCGCCATTGCTGGGATTCACGGCGCCGAGAACGCCGACATCACTGAGAGTATATAGGAGGCTGGCCTTGTCGGTCTTTCGCGGTCGATGGAAGAAGGTGGTCTCGACTTGGGGGACGCCGACGAGCGCGTGGTGGAAATCGATGGTGCCGACTTCGTCTTGGAATACGGCTACTCCTACTGACGACAATGCCAGTAGGAGCAGCGGTTGTAATGAGAACCGCATCGTTGAGTGGAGGGCGTTGCTGCGGCTTCACGCTTGACGGAGCTTGGGAGAGCTTCAAGCTGATGCATCATTATGGCGACCTGTTACGATGCGCATTGATTAGTCATCTCTGAGCTCCAGGGTAGGTTCACAGCGGGCAACAGCGACGGCTCAAACCTAGTGCAAACTGTTTAAGGTGGATGCCAGGATACGAAAAATAGTAGTTTCGAATTCTCTATGTCGTGTGATGTCGTCCTTGACTACTCTGCACTGTTACTCGTCATTGGCGTAGTTAAAGTTCAATAACGTTTTCTTCTCACTCTTCTAGGGTGCACTGGCCCGTGGTCTAGTTATTGCGACATCGGTGAGATAACTTACACGATGTTCGGCCATCCCCGTGAAAAACCAGAAGGACCGAATTAACGAACGACGTAGACACAACTTAGACATGAACAACCATTTGAAGTCTTTGACAGCTACTATCGCCCAAAATAATTCCCACTCCACATATCATATACATGATATGTAACTCAGCGCAAAGCGCAAATACTCCGGCTATACTTGCCTTGTGTTCCCTGACACCCTGACACCCTGGGGCAACATCATGACTTGACGCGATCAATAGCCGCGCGGCCCTCTTTTCAAGAACGGGGTTTCTCGTATCACAACGAGACGCTAGCAACAAGTTCGCCGAGGCTTCATATAACATGGACCCAGATAGCACCAAAGTAGGCAAGGGGCGACACTGAGAACGGAACGCGGTGCCGGTTCCAGATTCCATAAGGTTTAGACCGCTCCATCTGGTGGCCCTATCCCGATAACGCAATCCGCCTGAAGGAGTAGGTGCTACGCATTTTTACCCCAGGCTAGGTACATATGAGCGACCGGTTCGGCGAAATACTCTGGATGGGTTTGGCATAAGAGGAGCATGAGCCGTGGATTGAGTTTCGAGGTCGAGGACGAGGAGTCACCTCTGTTAGCCTTTGTCGACTCTAACCGTCACCACCGAAGACCACTGGACATGGGACCATTCAACCCCACCGTCGACCAGCACTCGGTGTCGTCCGACCGGGATCGGGATGCCGATGGCGATCTCGTGACGGCCGCCGAGCAGCGGGATCTCAAGCGCGGGCTTACAGAGCGCCATCTGTCCATGCTTGGCATTGCCGGTGCTATCGGTACGGGTTTGTTTCTCGGCCTTGGCGGCGCTATCCAGACCGGCGGCCCTCTCGGCGCCCTGCTTGGCTACGGCACTGTTGGCTTGGTTGTCTGCGCCGTCCAGTTTGCGCTCGGTGAGGTAGCTGCACTGCTGCCCGTCACAGGTGCTTTTGTGAGACATGCCGAGTTCCTCGTCGACCCGGCCTGGGGCTTTGCTATCGGCTGGAACCTGGTCTACGGAAACATCCTATCAATCCCGTCCGAAATCACAGCTATTTGCGTCTTATTCGAATTCTGGACCGACATCAACCCCTCCGTCTTCATCATCTCATTCATCATCCTCACCGTTATCGTCGGAATCGCCTTTATCCGCGTCTTTGGCGAGGTCGAGTTCTTCTTCGCCTCCCTCAAGATCCTCCTTGTCGTCTTCCTTATCATTCTCGGCTTGGTGATCAACTTGGGCGGAATTTCCGGCGTTCCTCGGACCGGCTTCAAGTACTGGAAGAATCCTGGGCCTTTCGTCGAGTACATTGCCTCCGGAAAATGGGGCAACTTCCTTGGCTACTGGAGTGTCATGACCGGCGCCGTCTTCTCCTTCGCCGGCGTCGAGTCCATCGCCATGGCAGCTGCCGAGACGAAAAACCCTCGCAAAGCGATCCCGAGGGCTTGCAAAAATGTCTTCATCCGAATCGTCATCTTTTACATGCTCGCCATTTTGGTCGTGGGTATGCTGGTCGCCAGTAACGACACTCGACTGGACGACGCCTACGGAACAGCTGCGCAAAGCCCCTTTGTGATCGCTGCCTCTGCCGCAGGAATCCGCGCCATCCCCTCTGTTGTCAACGCAGTCGTCATCACATCTGCTTGGTCGGCGTCGAACCAGAGCTTGATGGCTGGAACACGTGTTTTGTACGGTCTTGCCCTCAAGGGCCAGGCTCCGCGAATCTTCTTGAAGACGACGTCTTGGGGTACTCCTTGGGTCTGTGTGCTCTTCTTCACCGCGTTCATGTTCCTTAGCTTTATGAGTCTTTCCGCTGGCGCCATGACCGTGTTTTGGTGGTTTGTGGACCTGACTGCCGCGGGTGTCTTGGTTTCGTGGTCGAGCATCTTGTTGAACCACATCCGATTGCGAAAGGCCATGAAAGTGCAGGGCATTCCTGTCTCGCACCTCCCGTGGCATAATTCCTGGACAAGTAAGTGCATGGATAAATGATATTGGCCGAGATTGAAAGCTAACCAGGACATTACTCAGTTTACTCCTCATACGCTGCGTTGGTCATGAGCCTGACCATCCTCTTCACAGGTGGCTTTGCCGTCTTCACTAAAGGAAACTGGAGCGCTGTCGGCTTTGTTTCGTCGTACCTGTATGTTCTGACTTGGATTTGTTTCTGCTGTGTACAAAGCTAATTTTCGCAGTGACATTCCCATCGTGATAACGGCGTATCTGGCGTGGAAGTTTGTGAAGAAGACGAAGATTGCTTCGCTATCTGAGATACCGCTTGCCGACGCCTTTGAGAAGTCACATCAGTTCGACCCATCATCTGACACTCCAACGTCCGTTTGAAGCCTGCATCTGACCTGAGTGCCAATTAACTTAGGCTTGGATATGCGAAAGGTCCTGGCGATACTGGAAACGGCCAAGCTGTATATATAATTAGAATAGCGACATCGATACAAATAAACCATCTGCTTCTGAACAAGTTATGTGTGCAATAAGCAAATTAATTGACTTGTTGTAAAGTTGACGAGTCTCGTGCAGGCGAGTTTTCTGGAAGGCTTTTTTGAATTTTTAGAGCCTCGTGAGAGAGGTATAATGCATGATAGTTTCCCCGCTTCCACAATCGGATGACTATCCGCCAATCAATGTCAGAGTGGCCGAGTGGTTAAGGCGTCAGACTTGAAGCGCTCCTTGATACTGGATCTGATCCAGAGTAAACGAGCCTAGATATCTGATTCCCTAGGGATCGCAGGTTCGAATCCTGTCTCTGACGAATATTTCCTAGACCCCCTCACTCAGGGTCTTCTTTTTGCGGTTTTTGGCGATCATCTTTCATATATATTCTTATGATGCATGCTGCCCTTTTTTTTTTTTTTGGGTCTTTGAACTGGCGTTAGTATGTAGGTCCGTTTTCAGGTAGCTGCCCTGTAAAGCTTCGCGATCTGCCTGGCTCATGCGTATGAGATTGCGAATAGTTGACGCCACTTCAGGATCATGAAATGACGAAAACAACTTGGTCACACACTTTAAACGATCCGAGACATGTTTCAACTTGGACGCCAGAGTGTGACAATCATCGGTGATTTTTCGTCTCTCCAACCAAAGGCACCCAAATCCTGTTTGCTTGGCTCCATGCAGCGTGTCATGGGATCGCCCCTCGCGGTAATTGTCCCGTGCCAAACACCAACAACCTCAGTCATCAACATTGTCATCGACTCTTCATATCTAGGTAGACATGTGCAAATGACAGTGTTCATCGTATGATAATGCAGAGGCATCGTTGATTTTATTGCCCCTTGAGAAGTCGATGATCGGACAGCAACTGTACATGACGCATGCTTCTGTTACATCTCGATACCACTTATCACGACTGAAATCACCCACGAGGAGCCATCCCGGGCTTTTCGCAGTCAGGTTTGACAGTCCGACTCTCGGATCTCGTACGCTATACACGTTAATACAACTGCCATGGAGGTACAGGCAGGCTTATTCCATGCTATCTCTGCAACGGCGACTAACAAGATACCAAACGGCAGATACTCCCGAGATCTCTCATCCACTCGTGGTCCGCCACGCCCATCCCGGACCTCAAGCTCTCGGCCAGCGGCCTCCTCGCGCTCGCCGACCTCCGCACCGTCGCCCACCGCACCGCCCTCACCGGCGGTTCCTCCTGGCTGGACGCCCTGGTGCTAGCTCCCGGATTGCACTATCAGCAAGCCTGCGACTGGCTCGACCGCGAGACTCCCGTGGGCCTAATGGCGCTGGGCGGCGCCGACGCCCGGTACGACATCAAGAACGTCGTCACGCTCAACTATCTCATGGGCCTGTGCCGTCAGGGTCCCAAGGGGCTTGTTACTATCGACGTGGGATCTGTGGCGGCGTGGCAGGTGGGGAAGCGTGTTCGTCGAGTGCTCAGAAAGAGACGAAAGATTGCCGACGAGGAAGATGACAAGTATCTCGACATTTCTCCTCCAAACCTGGACTGGGTAAGCCACTTGCTGTACCTCATCAGCCCATGCCTCACCGTCGCCTCCATAACCTTCATGGTGCTCTTCGAAGACTGGTGGGGCGTGTCCATCATCCTCGCCCTCATCGCCTCGCGCATCCTCAACATCTGGGCCATCAAGCACCGCACCGAGCCGCACGCCCTCAACCCGACGCCGATGATGGCGCCCGACCGCGGCATCACCGTGTACCGCATCGACCTCGGCGGCGGCCACGTCGTCCGCCTGCGCGGCCTAGACACGGACTTGCAGGCCCTCACCACGCAGGTCTGGCTCCGCGCCCAGTCGCATCTCGACGGGTACCTCGAGGCGGCGGCCAAGCTGATCGTGTACCTTGTGGCCGCGCTGAGCGGCAACATGACCCAAGCGGGCGCCATTATCCTTGTCGGCTTGCTGGTGTCGAGTGCTGCGTTGCTGGGGTTGAGCAATGCCCACGCCAGCGGGTTTCGAGTCCATGGGCGGTATGCGGTACCAGAGCAAGTCGGAACTGGGGATGAAACCGTGGGGACGACTACTGCGGTGCAGAATGTGGATGGTCGAGTTCGGAGTCGACCTGTGACGACACCACCTTCTCGAGAGCTGGGCAATCAGTAGAGGTGAATCTTATACTCACGATAGAGGAATACTTTCTTCAAGGTTTAACCCAGCTGCAACGGCCGTTCATTCACTGAACTCTACCCGGATTCTCTCCCGTAGCAAGATTCTGTTGTACAAAAACGCCTACCCAGCCCATTATCCGTGTTGCAGGCAGCCCAGAGCAAGAAAAAAAAAAGCCGCGAATCCATCAACCCAAGACTAAACCCCAACAATCCTGACCATCTGTCTATCCAAATCAACTCTTCTAGCAAAACACTTAACCCAGAAAATGTACTCCCCTCCCAGTTCACAGTACAGCGGCGCCCTATGGCGCCGGCGCATCTTCTTTTTCTGCAGGCGGAGCCTCAGCGGGGGGTTCCGGGGTGACCTCTAGGACCTCTGAGACGGACGCCTCTGGAACTGACGCCTCGGGAACTGACGCCTCGGGAACGGGCGCTTCTGGGACGGTCTCTTCGCCTTCTCTCTTTTCAAAGGTTTCTGGATCTAGTGCGAGCACCTCCGAAAGCTCAGCGGAGGCAGGTGCAGCTTCAGGAACAGCTTCAACGACTTGTTCAGAAACAGGGTCGGCAATAGGCTCTGCGACAAGTGCGAGAGTAGAATCGGGGGCAATTTCGTCCGCATGCTCAATAATAACGTCAACAGGCTCGGCAACGGGCTCAGCAATAGGCTCAGCGACAGGGTCAGTGGCGGACTCGACGATAGACTCAATGACGGGTTCAGCGACAGGCTCAGCGCCAGGCTCAACGACATTCTCGACGACATGCTCGACGACAAACTCTGCGATAGGCTCGACAACAGGCTCGGCGCTAGTTTTTGGAGCAGTTTCAGGAGCAGCCTCAGGAACAGCCCCAGGAGTAGCTTCTAGAGCAAGTTCAGGAACAGGTTCGGGCGTAAGGTTGGTAGGAGGCTCAGGAGCAACCTCGGCGACCGCCTCAAAGTCAGGCTCAATCACTAAAGATTCCGTCTCCATCTCCATCTTTTTATCGGCCTCACGGTCAAGCTCACCAAGTAATCCACCGAGCAAGTCAGGCTCGTCAGGGTTGTCATCAGTCATAGGCATGTCTTCCACTGGAGGTGAAGCCGGCTTTGCCTCCTCGGGAGATGGTTCTGCGGGCATCTGAACAGGCACCTCTGCAGGTTCCTGAGCCTCCTTGAACTCCTCGACCGCCGCGGGTTCTGTCGGGACCTCCGATGGTTCGGACACGATGAAACTGGCAGGCGCAGAATCGTCTGGCTTAGCGTCATCCTCGGTCATGACGATATCTTCATGCTCCAGGGATGGGCCTCCTGGAATCGCTTCTTCTCCTAGCTGGACTTCCTCGATGGCGAGTTCTGTGTTGTCCGCGACTGTGCTGCCCGTGTCCTCGGCAGTGGGGGTGGTGGCGATGTTGCCTACTTGCTCAGGCGGAGGAGGCAGTAACGTGTCATCAGTGGGCGACTCGATCTTTGGCGAAATGCTCTCGGCGGTAACCTTGGCTACTGCATCTGCAACAGCTGGAGGAAGCTCGGTCACAGCAGGCTCTGTGACCGTCTCCACTGGTGTAACCTCGGGGGCAGCCTCAGGGGCTACAGCCTGCTCGACAATAGGTGCAGTGGGACAAGTAATATCGAGCAAGACATTGGGCGGGAACTCGGTTGTGGGGGAGGGCATGATGACGTTCTTCAGTGGGCTTCCCTCAAGCCTTGACATGCTTGGCGTGAGGTTGAGAGGAGGAAGTGGAGGGGCTAGGTTGAGAGGGCTGGGAGGGGCCGGTGACTCCGACGAAACCTCATTACCTCCCATTTCGACATCTGGAATATCAAAAGATGGAGTTTCAACAGCTGGCACGAAATGGGCCACTTCATGATCCTGAGCCTTGTCGCCTTCACCATTCGCGCTTCCGTGCTGAGTGCTGTCTGCGGGTGTCTCGGCACCTTCGTCACCGTCATCTCCTTCATCGCCGTCGTCGCCGTCGTCGTCATCATCATCGTCATCGTCGTCCCCGTCGGCCATTTCGCTGTCGGGATTGGCGCTATCTTCGGCTTCCTGCTTGATGCCCTGGTGGTGGTTAGCGCGTATGCTTCATAGAATGAGTAGGGAAGATCTCACGGTTTCGCCAGTCGGTTCAGGCTTGGCAGCAGCCGGCGCCACCACAGCGCCATTTACTGGAACTGCAGCGACTGCTGGTTGTGCCGCAGTAGCCAGAGGGATTCGTCCCTTCTTCTTTCCCCGGCCAGGGCCAGCCTTGGACTTTCTCTTTGGCGGGGGAGGTCTTCTCCTGTTTGATTGAGGTACAGGAGCTGCAGGCTCGCCGCTCAGTACCGGCGCCACCTCAACCCTGGTGGCAATGATTTCGCCTACTACCTGTCGACCCTCAGCCAGGATGACCTCCTCAGTGTATGGGTTTCCAGTGGCGTCAACCCGTCTCACAGTCGCCTTCGTGACAGTCGCGCCTTGGGGTTTATCCTCGATCGTCTTGCTAGCAATGGTAACGGTGTTCTTTCTTCGCTTGGCTAAGTGTGAGACGGCCGGGGCCTCGACGTTTCGGGGGATTTGCTTCCAGAGCTTGATGCTGTAGCCCTTAGCGCTGTCCTCGTCCTCTTTCTTTTCAAGCTTGTCGGGGATCGCGTCGGGGTCGACCTCTTCCTCCTCGGTAGGCGCGGGACGTTTGTAGAGTCGGCCCGATCGCGCGGCGAGGAGCAGTTCCTGGCTATGCGTTGGCAAAAGATGCGAGTCCTTTGGCATGCCGTGGATGACGTCGATCGACCAGATGTCGTTCTGCTGTGGTGGCTCCTGCTGGGGCGGAGGCACAACGTTGACCCAATCGTGGCGCCATTGTCGTACTGGGAGACCTGATGATCATCAATAGCTGTCGCAATCCGCCAAATTACGCGGTCGTACCTTCGAAGTCATCGTGGTCGGCGTAACCGCTGCGATTCGCGCGTCGCGTCTGCGCATCCCCGTTAGTTGAAGCCGCGACAACAAGACACCGTGGAGGTACCTACGCCTGGAGCCATCGTCGCCGACGTAAGAGCGCAGGTGTTTGCTCAAATGCGGTGATGAAATCAAGAAAAGACGGGGCGTTGTGATTGGGTCGTGCTGTAAGTGTTGTACAATGCGCCCGGTGCAGTGGCCTGCTTTGTTTCGAAGGAGGCTGAGAGAGGCTGAGCTTTTGTCGCGACGAGCGTGAGG